TTAATGATCAGTGCACGGTTCTTTTGCAACTAATCATGGCAAAACCTAATTGATTTGGAAACACTGTCAAGCCGTCGTCGTCCGACTACGGGTATAAGGGTTCCAAGTCCACGGGGAAAGAATCAACCGTCGGTCAGCCACCCCTAAAAAACCCGGGAAATATTCCGCAGTTGTTGACAGTTCACAGTGCGTGCGTGGTCTACGCTGCAGATAGTGAGTGATTTTGTTTCTGTGTTCGAAATTGTTGATACCACTGCTTTACCTCTTTCCATGATGGTATCAAAAATTTCGAACACAGAAACAAAATCACTCACTATCTGCATTGTAGACCACGCACGCACTGTGAACTGTCAACAACTGCGGAATATTTCCCGGGTTTTTTAGGGGTGGCTGACCGACGGTTGATTCTTTCCCCGTGGACTTGGAACCCTTATACCCGTAGTCGGACGACGACGGCTTGACAGTGTTTCCAAATCAATTAGGTTTTGCCATGATTAGTTGCAAAAGAACCGTGCACTGATCATTAATAATTTAGAGAGTGTTCCCGGCAAGAGGAAATAGTCATTAAAAACGGTAGGGGGTCCAGATATTTTTTTTTGTACAAACAGTGTCGTAACTTTTGAAATACTTGACTGAAAGTTTTGATCTTGGTCTCAATCAATAGATATTGAGTTGATCTTTCAAATGAGATCAAGATCAAGCCTCTAGCTATCTTGGTTTTTGAGTCATGGAACCAGTCACGGTACTTTTTGGACAGCCTATGTATGTATGGAGAGAAAGATTTGGGAATGAAAAAATTTCCTTCTCCACTTGTAGAACTTCGATATATTTCAGTTAGGCCGAAAACTTGCGAATCTTGTGGAGAATTTTAAAGTAAAAGGTCCTTGGTCAGAGTTAGAAATAGGCTCCAAAAGTGACCAAGACCTTACAATTTGTTTATTTATTTGTTCTTTCAATGCATCGATCATGTTTATACCATTACTTGATGCTTATTCTCCTTTTAGGGCCGAGAAACTAAAACAAAATCGACCAAAAAGAAATATCTAAATCGGGGAAAAGCAGCTCAAGATAGTTCTGATGAGGACTTAGCTGATATGAAGAAACCAAGTGCTGGCATGTATGAATTTTTCACCCTCAAAGATGTTCAATCCACTGTTAAAGAAATACTGCTTCAGTCTTCAGAAGATACTGACTATGATACTACTGAGTTATCCAAAGAAATATCTTTACAAATTTACCCGTAAGTTCTGTCTCAAACAATCTTTTCATTTTTAAAAAATCGGTTTCATATTCTGAGCTTCTAGTCCAGGCGCCTGGTAAGTCTACCTGGAATTTTGGGCACACAGCGATTTTTTTGGCTTACGAATCCGAATCTGAAGTTTCCTACCGCGTATCTGGTGAGCATTTTCCGCCATTTTGAAAAAATGGCCTAAAACGGCCTTTTTTTGCGTTTTTTTTAAATAGCGGCTACGCATGAGAAAAAATCCCGGATTTAGCTAATGTTTTGAATAGCTGACAAAATTTGGAAGAAAATGGTATATGAATATGCTAGGTTTGCTCAAAAATTGAGGAACCTCGGATCTCGGAACTTTGGAACGCTTCGGAACTTAGCTGACCGCGGCGAGCAAGATCGCGCGTTGACGGGCTGCGCCGCGAAAATGTGAATGGGCGCGATGTTCACGATGCTGTATTTTCCTCAATTTTTAAGCAAACCTAGCATATGTATACACCATTTTCTTCCAAATTTTGTCAGCTATTCAAAACATTAGCTAAATCCGGGATTTTTTCTCATGCGTAGCCGCTACACAAAAAAAAAACCGCAAGAAAGGCCTTTTTAGGCCATTTTTCCAAAATGGCGGAAAATGCTCACCAGATACGCGGTAGGAAACTTCAGATTCGGATTCAGCGACCCAAAAAACGTACAGTAAGCCAAAAAAATCGCTGTGTACCCAAAATTCCAGATAGCCTCATTTTTAGCTACCAGGCGCCTGGACTATTCTGCAGCATTTCTGCTGAGTCAACAATTAAATCAGTGATTCTGAACAGAAAAACTGATGCACCAACAAATCGGAAATTCAGTTTCTGATGATTTGGTATTGCTTATACATAGATGCCTCGTGGAGCTGATTATCGAGCAGAAAAACGTTTTCTTTCTCTCTTATATTATTCCTTTTCTTTCTTACTTCTGATGTCTCGTTTTCATTTACTTCTTTTTTTTCTCTTTTCTTAATTTTGCTTCCCCTTCATTATTTTTCTTTCATGTTTTCATACTTCATTTTATTTTATTTCCCTCTCCTTTTATTCTCCTCTATTTTTCTCCTCCCGATTTATTTTTCCTGCTCTTTTTTTTCTCCACTTTTTCCTAATTCTCCTCCCCCCCTCTCATCTCCGACTTTTAATAATCTCTCTCTTTAATCTCCCTCAAGCAAGACAAGACCAGTTGGTCCTATTGTTGCCAGCCTAAATAAACTTTCTTAAATCTAAAATCTATATCTTTTATTTTTCTGTTTCCTCTCCTTGCTGTAATTTTTTCATTCTTGTTTATTCGTTTCACTTTTGCATTTGCTTTTATTTTTGATCTTTTCCACAATATCTCTGTTTTCATTTCTTCTTTCTCGCTCCTTAATTTTTTTCTCTTTTATTTTTTCCTCCTTGTTCGTGCTTTAATTCTATTTCTTTCCCCTTTTCTTTCCCTTTATTATTTTCTTTCTCTCTTTATTTTTTAATTTTTTATCTTCTCTTTTTTTCTTTTGTGTTCCCCTTTCATCTTCCCCTGCTTTTTTCTTTCCATCGTTCCTTCTTTTGTTTTTGGCTCCACATTTTTCTTCGACTTTTATTTTCTTTTGTATTACTTTCCGTTTTGATTTTTTCTTTCTGTCGTTCCTCTCTTTTTTAATTTCTGTCCTTCTCCTGTATTCTGTATTTGCTCTTTTTCTCCTTTTTATTATTTGTTTTTCTTTCTTTTTAATTATTTTCATTGTTATTTTTTTATTTTTCCTTTTTATCATTTTCTGCTCTTTCATTTCTCTATTTCTCTCGTTTTTTTCCTTTCTCTTTTGATCATTCCTCTTTCTTTTATTTTTTCTTTCCCTTTAATTTTTTCTTTCTTTTGATTTTTTCTTTTTTTCTATTTTTCCTTTTTAATTACTTTTATTTTGGAATTTCTTAATTTTGCCACTTGGCCCCTTTTTTCTCTCTCCTTCTTTTATTATTCATAGTATTTAGTTAGAATGATTCTGCTTGAAAGTCCAGAGGGCGGCAACCTTTCTGGCTGGCTGTAGAGGTTTGCTGTTTCAGTAAGCTTGGAACAGCTATTTTCCTCAACACTTGCCTCAAGAATATTATCAATTTATTTTTTTATGTCCCAAGATTTGTTTTTCGCATAGAAAAGTCAACTTTACTCGTAATATTTTTTTATTTACTTTAATTTTCAGAGCCCTGAACAAAGAAAGCTTTTCTCTAGCAACAGAACTATGTGAGAAAAAAATTGCTGACTCATCTTCAAATCGAAGAAAAGTTGCTGTCGATATTCAAGAACGGCTCACCACTCTCTTCAACGACATAAAGTTTTATGAGAAAGGAACTAAGCATTTTCAGTCAAAAGATATTCAAAAGCAGCTCATAAAATATCTGTTAAAAACTTTAGGAGCAGAGTTAGTCAATTTAATTTTTCACTACGTATGTGTAATAGATACAGAGCCGAGTACAATTAGTGCTGAGGTAAGTTCCTGTTCTGTCCCAGATTTTTTTCACCTGTAAGTGAGAGTTTACAAGTTTTTTCACTATTGTTCATCATTATGTTGTTTACACTGTGGATCACATTTTTTTCTTTATGGTTAGACTCGAAGACAAGAACAGCTTCTCAGACCTTTCAGATTAATTCTTCAATCAAATAATCAGCATTGGAATGAGTCAGAGGTTCTGAAGTGGACAAGTTGTGGCCAATCTTCCATTGTTAGACCATCGGCCAAGGAAGTCTGCCCTATTTCAAAATTTGGAGCTTACTGTAGTCTGAATAAAGTCGAGTTTTCTAATTATGGAGTGCTAACTTTTAACTTTGGACTGATGAATATAGTTTGACTACATTTTGCGATGAGGATCCACCATTCTTTGGCTCCTCCTGAGAACAACGTATGTGTCATTTGTTTCCACTCACAGATAGGTGCTTTTATTGGTGAACAGGAAATAGTGTTTCTTTATTACAAAATGAAGTCTACCTATTCTTTTGAATCATTTTGGTGGTTTAAAGTTTATCCATGTATTACATGTATTTACTATTTGGCAGTTCTTGCAAGTCGGCAAATCCGTTTTCCCTTCATTTAAATCTATCATGAATAATTAACATAGAGTACCTAGAATTGTAATGTAAATGGGAGAGCTAGCGCCACTTTTAAGCATTTTCCAGGTCCTGAATTCTGAGACTCCTGTATCATGCCGGGTCACATTTTCGATACATAATCGATAGCTTTCGATACATGGGGACCCAGCCATCAGATGTAAACAAAAAAGATAGGAATTACTACTTATTCTACATTCCTATTTTGTATAAAAAACGTGACCAAAGCTCGGCAAACACGAAACGGGCTCGAAACTCGTCAACGAGAACATGGCACCAGCTCTCCCATTTACATGACGACTCTATGTACTCTATGATAATCAATTCCAGGAGAGGTGTTTTCATCTATTTTAGTTACAGAACAATAGACCCAAGAATGGAGAACCAGAAAGTATTGAAGTATAATTATTACAAGATCAGACAGGTTATACTTAATATTTTTAGAGGTATATTCTTAGCTGAGCTGTGCACCGCATTGCCATGTAAGGTCTAAAAATCTACATACTCCCCCAGCTGATCATTCCTGATCAGTGGTCGAAATTGGCAACACATACAGCTCCATCACAGCTCGGACAATAACTGCTTTCTGGGTCTTCACTGTAACTACTCGCACACGACCGTCAGCTCCCTGATGTAGCTTCTTGACTCTCCCTAAGCTTCAAAACATCAGCGGAGCTTGTTCATCTTTTATTACACCTAAAGAAACGAATTTTGATGCCACGGTTATCTTTCAGCGATTTAGGCTTGCGTTGAAGGCTTCGTAAATACTCTTTTTTCCATCGTCTCCAACAGTTTTTACTATCATCATTGAATTTTTGATACACTGATACCACTGTGTGGCTTGATGCATCCAAAGTGGTTGCCGCGGGTAGTGCCGTCAGTGGTCTGTCTATCAAGGATTGGCTAGGAGTCAATGCTGTAATATCAGTAGGGGACATGGACAAATGTATTGACAGTCGAGAATTAAGAGTTGCCTCAATTTGTACGATTAGCGTTTTGAGTTCTTCACCCTAAAATACACGAGATCTGTTTACTCTATACAAATGATTTTTAAATGATTTTTTGTGAATAGAAATTTCCCAAAGACCTCCATGATGAGAAGACTTTGTTCGATTAAAATTTCATGTTATCCCATTTTGAGTCATTTATTTACACAGTGCTTGATTGTCAAATAAAGTAGTTCGTTCATTGTTTGCTCCGGACAAACGTTTTAGCATTATCCGTGAATATTTCTGATGGCAGCCCTCTTCTGAAATAGGGCCTTATTCTTAGGCATTCTTAGGGAATTATTCTTGCCTTATGTTTGACAGAAGCCACAGTGGTGGAGCATGAAGATGTCTAATATGTTCTTGCAAGAATTACAGTTCTGTAAATCGGTGTTTTGCTGGTAATAACATTGGATATCTTTCGTTATGACATATAACACAGAATTCTGTAACCTTCCTTCCACTCACAGTATTCCAATTTCATCTTGGAACCGAGACAGGGTTTTGATATTGCTGGAACTTAAAACAATACCGTGGTTCTTTGACAAATGAGCAATTTATTCGGAAAATGATTCTACTGGAATGATTCTCTTGCATCTTTCCTTTGCCAACTCAAATTCAAAGGAAGAGATATTTCCATTTTCAAATTTTAAACTTGTAGTTGTACTTTGACTGTAGCTTGTAGTGTCTGATTCGCTTTGTTATAAATGTCCTCTACAACTTCTGAGTTAACTTACTCTCTGTCCGGCAAGAACAGGGGTTATGGATCTCGAATAATCTTTGCTTCAAACGATGCCCATGAGCCTTTTCATTGTCATATTTATCAATCAAAGCTGCCCATGCTGCTGAGTAATACTTCTCATCAAATTCTAATGTCTTGATCAATGCTGCTGCCTTACGGGTCAATGAGTTCTGCAAGTAGTGAAATTTGATGATGTTCATGAGTGCAGCATTGTCATGAACTAATGTTAGAAACATATGCTTATATGTGTGCCACTCTTTCTGAATACCTGAAAAATCTTGTAATTTTGGTGCTGTCAGATGTGATCCAAAAGCACTTTACTGGAATACAGGCTGTGCGATAGTGTCTCGTCTTTGATCCATATTGACTTGGTTTTTGCTTTAACCTCATGAAATTTCTTTTTAAACTCCAACCTTCCGGATTTAATGTTCGCAAATTCTCTCACAGTGCAAAAATACTGCTCTAGAAGTCATGTAAGGTCTTAATACCTAAAAGAGGCAACCTGCCTCCATAAATATCATTGTTTTACAAGTATCAAAAGAGGCAATACCTAGTTTTTCCAAATTATAAGCATTGCCCGTAAATGTGTTCTCCGATAGCTACAATTGTAAGTTCAAGTAAGAAGATAATCTTCTATTTTATGACAAGTACGTATCACTCACTGGACTACTGAGCAACCTCTTTTTCTCTCTCCATACCCTAAGCTACTTTTTCTTATCCGTCTAGATGCGAATGAAACTCATTGCAGAAGCAGAGGATGAAAATAGAAATATTCTATCAAAACTGAACAAGTCCCTAGGAAGCGATTCATTAGAAGATTTTGTCTCTGTTGTTGAAGAAACATTAGCAGCCATTAGAGTTGTTATTAAAAAGCAAGACAAGAAAAGAGAAAGGTAAATGTGAAATTCTTATTTCAATGTAGATCTGAGTATCTTATCAATATTTTTAGACGTTCTAAGGTATAGACTCAGGTTTCTTGAGGCTGTTACAGTAAGCAATATTGTAAATAAAGAAAGTGTAATAGTATGATACGTTCTTGAAAAGGACCCCGCACACTCCTCATGGGAAAGTGCATCACGATCGATTTTTAAATTTTTTATTGTATTCAATTCATCTCATGATGCTGATCAAAAGTCATCATTGCGTCAACTTTCTACGATTCACTGTTTTCGCACAGTACGCCCAGAACGTTTCAATTATTCGGTGATAAAGAGTCAGAAAGATTCCTCATTTCAGCACTCGAGTGAACAGTCCGCTGTGTATCAACAAGGAAATCAGGGGAACTCCAGCACCGAGTGGCAGTCTTATCTCGGATTCTGCACGCCTTTTTGCTTGACCATCCAAATCAGCTTCGTGAGGAGCATAAGAACAGGAAAGTCGGAGAAAAACAGAGAACGTCAAACGGACGAGAGCGGGAGGGAGATAGACCCAGAGTAGGTAGGAATAGATAAGAAGACAAGACACTCGGTACGTTTTACCTTAATTCACATCAGACCTGTTCTCGAATGCCTTGTTCTTTTTGACTCTTTATCGCCGAATAATTGAAGCGTTCCGGGCGTACTGTGCGAAAACGGTGCATTTCAGAAAGTTTGCGCAATGATGACTTTCGATCAGCATCTTGAGGAGAATTGAATGCATTAAAAAAATTAAAATCGATCGTGGTGCACTTTCCCATTAGGAGTGTGCGGGGTCCTGTAGAGAAGAATTTGAAAGGGTCGTAAATTTTTCGCAACTATGGAAAGTCAAGCGAAGCTGTCAGGCCCTGAAGTTTTTGTTTTTTCAAACATTTAGAATGACTTTAATTTCACCTATGCCTTTCATTAGGCGAGCTTGAACTTTGCACTTAACGTCTGGTGAATAGTGTTTCCATGCCCACATCCTTGAAATGTCAGTTGATCTTTTTGCCAAAATCTTCAGGAAGTCAATAAATTTTAAAATTGACAGAAACTCACTACCGTGTATTGAATCTGATCTTCTCCGCATCTGATTTCTCATTAAAGGAAAATAAAATGAAATTTTGTGTCAGACAAAGCAAGTTTAGCCCTGAGAAAGATGAATCTACCAATTGACATAGAAAATGATCCATAGAGTGTATCAATTTTTTTTTTTTTTAATGTTTTTAACTTTCTGATCTTTTCCTCTGATTATTTTTTAAATGAACGGTTGCGCATGAGACATTCAAGTAAATGGCATCATGGCCTGTAGTTCCAAGTTAAGGCTGTAACAGTTTTTTTTTTTTTTTTTTTTTTTTTTGTCCATCAGATCCCTAATCATGGCACATAAACAGGCTCTTTTGTCTGAAATGGATGGACTGGAAGAGCCAGCAGCTGTCTTACACTTAGCTTCTCTAGTTCTGTTTCAAACTGTAACGCAGAGCATGCTTCATGCGTCTGGCAAGTTTGTCTCTTCGATCCTTGCATTCTTGGAGCCGCATTTGCCACCAGATACTTTTTCCCACCTCAGAGAATTCCATGGTAAGCTATTATTGATACCATTTTTCCCATTATGTCCCATGTTGTGTTATTTCATATTTTTTTTTTTTTTTNTTTTTTTTTTTTTTTTTTTTTTTTTTTTTTTTTTTTTTTTTTGTCGATTGGGCCTGTATTGCTGGTTTTTATTTTAACACCATCAAGAGTGGCGGTAGCCACCCCCGGTCGAGGAAAATGACGTCCTACTAAAGTCCCGATAACAAACGGGTGGCCGACACTCTTAGTCACAGGCAACTCCCTTAACTTGAAAATTGATTCGGTTGGAACTCGACTGCAGCCCAAACGACGGCTCGGATTCCTACGATGTTGGTGTCTACGGACGCATCTCAATTAGGACTACAAAGTGGAAGAGTTTCAATAAGATCCATTGAGTTTTCAAAAAGTTATAAGCACTTAATGACCCAAAACAAGGAAAATTTTACTTTTTACTTTGCCGGGAAATTTGAATTTCAAGAATCCAGGGTCCTGAGAAAGTCACTCAAACTCCGCGATAACGGTAAACCTTAGACCCATAAAAGTGGGTACCTAAAGAATCGTCATGTTACCGTGTCCATGGGTTTTTACAGTTTTGTAACATTCCTAGTGAACCAAAAGAGAAATTACGGAAAATACGACTAAACTGCCCGTCATGACCATCTTTAACAACAGATTTCTTGCTTACCCGGCCGCAGATTGTAATGGAGCCTATATGAAGGGCACTCCGTGAAGATGTGAGGATTTCATTTTGCCACATAAAAAAGCGCTTTATCTCACGGATAATCCAGCATCCGCTTACATCCTTCAAAATTTTAGCTATAATTTTTGAATTTAGAAAAAAACCAGTAATATAATGGTTCAACGCCATTGGTTCATTCTGTTCAGGTTCGTCCGAGTTTCGGGAACGAAATTCCTGTCGTCGTTATGTCGTCTACTGTATTTATTTGTGAATAATGAACAGATTTAATTTAAAAGTTCAATTCATTTTAGATCCTAACTAATATTACACACTTATATTATTACGCCCACTTTTATCCCGATACACTACTTCATCGGTTTCTTAAAAATCTCAAGTGATTTCTGGTCGGTCGTTACCAATCTCTTTAACTAGTTGTGAATAGATTTACCTAATTTGGATAAGAGTTTAATTCTTTGTAGATGCTAACTACTATATTTACATACTCATATTATTACGTCTCACGTGTTCTACTGGAGCCCGATATACTACTACCTTAGTTTCTCTTAAAATGTTCAAGTGGTATCTTTATTTTATTGAACGAAAATGTGACAAATTTTTAAGTGAGGTTATGTCGTCTTGTTGATGTCAGTACCTGACCTAAGCGATAGATGTAATTCAGGTAAATTATGTTAACGAAATTACACCGAAATTGTGCCAAACTCTCGAAAGGAAGCAGCATTTACATCACAGAATGTATTCTCACTACTAAAGTCTAAAAATTACTGGAATATGAGCCTCGGCCTTCACATGCGACTGTCACTGAACGTCGACCAAAATTTATTCGCTCTATATCTTGCCATCAACCTATGTGCACTGGAGTGATTATGCTTCTCTGAAGTGTATGTTATTTACATTAAGAACATGTTTCCTTCATGATACATCTTGGAATCCTCCTATCTCTTCTACCGTTCTTGTTACGCGTGGCTTGCGAACCTGAGTATGTGAGGCACAATTCCATCCCTTTTCGCAACAGTTCAATCATAGGTCAACTTAATGTCACATAATCAAAGGTCTTTGACTGTGAGCATTTGCCCAAATTGGTTTCATCTGAGTCTCTTTGATTTTGCGTCAGGAGTTGTTAGAAACTTCATTTTGCCCAACAATGTATAACAAGGTCTTTAATGAAAGGTATGTACCCGTTTTATTCTCATAATTTCATAAGTTGATGATAAAAATACAATGAAGGCTTCATTTTCTTGCAT